TATGTGTATGTGTGTGTGCCTGTCTGTCTGTCTGTCTCTCTGTCTATGTTCACTATCTAACTCTAGCTGGCTTCAAAATCACCATGATCCTCCTGCCTCTGCCTCCCGAGTGCTGGGATCACAAGCATGTGCTGCCATGCCTGACTCCTTCCCTTTACCTTTGCAGAGACTGCCCCACTTGCCAGGAGTCAGCACAGTCCCCGACACACAGCAGATGCTTGAGTTCAGATAAAACAACAAATAAACTGGGCAGCGGTGGCGTACGGCTATAATCCTGGCACTCGGGAGGCAGAGGCAGGCAGATCTCTGTGAGTTTTTGGCCAGCCTGGTCTATGAAAGCTAGTTTCAGAACAGGTTCCAAAGCTACAGAGAAACCCTGTCTCAAAAAAACAAAACCAAACTAACAACAAAAAAGCGAATGAATCAGCTTTGGACTTGTTAGTGGCAGCCAGTCATTTCAATGTGTCCGCGTCTCTGCTGACCCACTTACTTGACATATGACCTTGGGCTTGGGATGTGACCTCACCTAAAGGAAAGGCTCTTAGCACATGGTTGAGAATTGCTTGACCTGAGTGTGGTATCAGCGTGAACATACTTGGCACTCAGAAGTTTCTCTGTAAACTGAAGCTGAGAAGCAGACAGTCCTGATTCAAGGCCCTTCATCAGAACACTCAGAAATGGACTAGACTCCAGGGTCTGTCGTGCCCTGAGTCTGAAAAATGATACTAGATGCTTGCATCCTTAGGTGGCTCTGTTTCCTCACCTGTAAATTAGAGTAAGGTGATACCCCTTCCTCGGAGGTTTGTGGGATTCAGCATGGGTCAGTATCCAATAAATGTCAGCCTTTGTCATAACTGTTAACATGTAACTCTGGTGACCACAGCATAAGGCTTGTGCCCCCAGTTCTTGATCAATGAAAATACAAGTTTCCAGGGAGATTAAGTAACTGTCCAAGGTCAAACAACGAGGAAACAGCAGCCTTGCACTTCAAGGCCAGGTCTGCTGCGCCCAAATCCCATGTTATTTCCACTCCATCAAAGAGGCAGCTCAAAATAGGCCCGTGGCATTTCAGCTAATTTCCTCTAAGCCCTTCCCAAGTAACAAACTGCAGTCACACAAAGCTGCTCCCTAGACATCCATTCAGCGGCCACTAAGTGCAGGTGCCTGGTGCGTCCCAAGCAGCAAATAGGGCCTGAGCAGGGCCAGCTCTCCCAGGTGGCCTTTCCTGGCCTACAGAAGGACCCTATGGCATATAACTCATTTGTAGAGGCGGGGAGGCTGTGAGTCAAAAGGTATACAGAAGATTAAGACAGAGCACTTTAGGTATAAAATGGGGCAAAGAAATGAGAGGCATCTATGCCAGGCTCTCCACCTCTCTTCTGCCATAGGAAGTCCACACTGCAGCTGCTTGGGCATCATTCACCAAGCGTCTACTATGGATCTAGAACTTCCTTGGATTCTGAAGTCTTAACTGCGACCCACGACTCAGCTCTTGGCCTCAAGAGCTTATGAGGCCATGAGGGGTCACAGCACAGTTACGTGTGATCAGCGTGACCAACGTCACAGCCGTGTGGCAGGTAGTAAAAAGTAGAGAGTAGCTGGGACACTTCTGAAAAGAGTGGATGGGTACCAAGATACCCATTTTCCAGACACTGAAACTACTTCCTCAGGAAGCCAACTTGGACAGAATATGGCAAATGCCCAAGTCCCCAGTAAAGCTGTGTACCCAGGCCCTTTCTTGCTGCAGCAGTCTCTACTATCTCCATGCTGGCTGTGGAGACTGCTTCCCTTCCCCCCTCCACCCCTGTTGTTTTCCTGGTGACGATCTGGCCAGAAGATGAATCAAATGCTGTGAATGTTACAACCACTGTCAGCAGTTCTGAGGTTAGCAGTCTGCGGACAAACAGGCTTCAGAGCTTCTGCTGTGGATACCTTTTGAGCAGGAACTCAGGGGTTGGTTGTGAAGAGGGCAATGGATAAGTATCCCCCCCCATGCATGGGCAGGTCAAAGGCAGTCAAGGTGACAGGCACCAATGAAGGGAAACCTCTCAAACACATATAAGGACACCCAAGCATCTCTGCCCAGCTGCACTCTTTAAAAGACGTAGGTGATCTCAGGATCCTTGACACCTGTGCTTCCCATCTTTCTTAAGGATAGCAGCCCAGTGGTGCTGGAGGATGGCTCAGCCATTAAAGGTTAGCTCACAACCAAGAAGTATAAGGATAGCAACCCAAGAAAAACATCCACACAAACCACGATTGAACTGCCCCTGGGATGAGCAGACCATCCCTCCCTTTTTCCCACTGCTAATCCTACCCTCCTAGTACAGGAAACCAAGGCCTGAGAACCCTTCCCCTGCAAGCCAGCTTCAGCTTACACTAAAACCCTTAGTACAGTTTTAGAACTCTGAGTCCTGTTCTCCAGATGCCAAGACCCTCGCTCCAAACCAGAAAGACAGCTATCAGTCCTCAGAAGGGTCCTTCTGGTCTAAAAGGGAGCAGAAACTGGGAGAAAAGGAAGTTTTATGCAGGGCAGCAAAGCAGACAGTTTCTACCTGTGACTTGGAAGGTGCAGGGAAGAAGTTAGGCAGTGGGCTTTGCACCTTAAGAAACTACTTCAACTTCAACCCTCTCCTGTGTACACCCCTAATTTCTGGATCACTGATAAATTATCGAGCAACTCATCTCAAGACGAAATGGGGAGGGGTGGCATTACCAAACTGTGAAATCAAAGCGTCTCTCTCTACGCCCTTCAACTGACTCATTCGAGAAACAGCTTTCTCTAGCCCCTCCCCCAAAGGAAAGACACACCCTCGAGCCTGCCTTATATGTTCTCCTTTTACTTAGTCACAAAACTGGTCGGAGAAAACATGTCATCCTCAGCTGGGAGCATTGCTGAAGTGCTTCAATTTCCAGGGTTGCATTAAAAGTTGCACGCACAGTCTGGTGGAGAGGTGGCACAGGAATTAACCCGATCTCACAGTTCTGGTGAGCAAGAGGAGGCTTCTGTCTTTCCCTGTTCGTAGCAGAAACACTTTTTAAAAATCTCTTCAATCTCATTTATGAATGTCAGGGTGGGGGGACTTGGAAAGATCCACACTCACCCACTTCTCCTGAAAATATTTTTATCCTTGGGATGAGAATCATGGCCCGAGCCCCAGTTACCAGTCACCCTTTTCTCGTTCTTTCACGTAAATAATCTTTCCAAAATGTCTACTTGTAGAAGTAAGATGTAGAATTTCACGGAAAACTACAGAGTCACAGATAGAGCTATGCACACCCCCATTAGCCAGAAAGACACAGAGATCAAGAAGGGAATGAGGAAAGAGATGTATCTATCCAACCAATAAAATAAAACAACCTCCCCTCCCCTTCCCAAAAAGAATTGTGCAACCCATGATTGGAGAGGAAAAAAGAACATAGAGATTATGTTTGTAATTACCCATCTAGGTTCTATGTCCATCTCTTCCAGGCGGAAAAGCAGCTGATTGAAGTTTTGTGGCAGTCTAACTGGGAAGGCTGTATTTGAAGCTCTGGGCACGTAGAGATGGAATGAGAAGGAAGCTGATCTGGAAGAAACACCGAGAGGGGGGAGGGAAGAGGAGAGAAAGGGAGAGCAAGAGAGAGGGAGAGAGGAGAGAGAGAGAGAGAGAGAGAGAGAGAGAGAGAGAGAGATCGCCAGCTACGCCTTCCTCTCAGCTCCAGGAGGCCCCGGCCAGCGCTCATTCCGGAACTGTGGAACAGGAGTCCGGGGAGGCCTGGCAGCCCTGCGCTCGGCCCCGGCCTGGCCGGTCCCTGGAGGACAGAGGCCCCTTGGCCCTGGCCCCACTCCTGGCGGGCTACAGAGCTCAGGGAGCGCACAGAGTGGGGAGCTGTCCAGTTCAGCACCACGGCGACGCAGTAGGTGGGCGCTCCTGCTCTGAGAGCTGTCCAGTCCAGCACCGCGGCGATGCTGTAGGTGAGAGCGCCCGGTCGCGGGGAGCTGTCCAGTTCAGCACCACGGCGATGCAGTAGGTGGGAGCGCCGGGCCGGG